AGTCTTTCTTGCAACGGGTTTTATAACAGGACTATTACGCCTATGCCTATTAATAGCCGCTTCACTTTCTGAACTTTTTAAGGCTTTCGTTACCACACGGCTTCGTTAGGGAGACGAGACAGTTCATATTGGCAACTGAGGTTTTTAATATACAACTGTCTATTTGTTCGAACGTACACAGGCAACGCGTTTATGTCTCGTTTGATTATGGCAATCAGTTCGCTTGCATTTCGGATATTTCGCTCACACGGTTTACAAACTTGGTCGGATAGTTCCGAGGTAGAATTACCTTCGATTCCTAAATGAACTGAACCGGCAATTCGGCTTATTTCGGCCAAGGTTTTACCACTGTCGTAACGTTTCTTTTGCTTGCCTTAAATAAATAATTTCTCCAACGATATATACGAATATAAGATATTTTCTCTATTGGCGTATTGCCCCGTATTTTAATTGCAAAGCACACTTAAACAAACGATAAGTCATTTACATTTTCCGCGCTTGCTTTTCTACCTCTTGTCGACATATTTTTATACATTTGCAATTTTGCGACCAAACAACAACATAGTTTGACAGTTTGATTATAAATATATTTAGTGTTTGCTGATTGGCTAATTGGACTCGGACAAAAAAGTGGGCGGTTATCAAATTACACTGCCAAACCCAGCAGGCGGTATTTTAGACCGCCTGCCATGCAGGCTACCCATCACTAAGCCGAAACATCAAAGGTCATCAAAGTATCAAACACGTGCATTCTCAAAATTCACGAATGAAAAAAGCAAATATTTCCTTTCAAAATTGCTCTATTATACATAAAACATAACACAAGATTCTTACCTGGAGATTACTCAATCATCCCTGATGTATTATTACGCTTATTCACGGTTAATAAAGCTTCATCGGCTCGAAATATCGAGCGAAATATTGTAACTTCGAAATCACGAACTGTTATAAAAAATATGGCGGCTGTAAATTCAGTGCTTCCACTTCCACTTTCAAAAAAATAATTTTCTTTCCAACTGCTCAAAATTTCCTTATTTTTGAACAAAAATTCCTTTGATGAAGATGAATTTTACTTAGTTTAAAACTGATATTACAATAATTTATCCTGAATGACGGTGTATTTCTCGGGCGGGAAACACCATGAACGTTGCAATTATAAATTATAATTTAATTATAAAAAAAACTGCAACAGGAGGCTTGAGGTCATGCCTCAGAAATTTTTCAGATTTTCCATTCCCCAGGAGTAGGATTTGGATTTTCGATATTTCCTGACGCGAATTTGCTTCGGAATTGCTATAATCTTAGGATTTATTAGAAATAACGTAATATTCTTATTTGCTTGCTGAAAACAAAATTCCTTGCCGTTTCCTAGTAAATTTTATTTCTTTTTGCAAAGAAATTTCCTTGCAAGTGGAAGCACTGCATGGGATGACCAGTGGGGATGACGCTGTACGCAATAGTTGAAGCCTCCTCCTTTTCTCACCCTCCGCCCCTCACCCCCTTCCATTATTAATGATTGGTCCCTTATCTGTGTAAATGTAAAATACGGTTCTATTTTATTTCATTTTGCTAAGTAGGAAAATTCAGTATGTTTAATTTAAATAGACTATTTTATACATATCTGCAAATTGTAATCCTGAATTCCTGTAAATGTAAAATAGGATTAAAATAGTGTATTTTATTCTATTTTGCAAATTAGGGAAAGTAAATAGGTTTAAAATAGTATATTTTATCCCTATTTGAAAAATGTGGCATTTTTAAAATGTGAAATAGGTTTAAAATAGTCTATTTTATTCTGTTTTACGTATTCTGAAAAATAAATAGCTTTAAAATACTATATTTTATATCTATTTTAATTTATGTAATTTTCTGCACGTGCAAAATATGTTTAAAATAGTCTATTTTATTGTTATTTTGCTAACTATGAAAGAAAGATAGGATTAAAATAGTATATTTTATTCCTGTTTGAAATTTGTGCATTTAACTTGCAATGAAAAATAGGATTTAAACAGCCTATTTTATTTTATGAGTTTAAAAATAGTATATTATATATCTATTTTAATTTCTAACTGCTTTAAAGTGAAGTAAAATAGAATTTAAATAGGCTATTTTAAACCTATTTTTTCCCTGAAGCTCTGGAAAATAGTATTAAAATATGCGATTTTATTTCTATATTATCTATAAAAATAGGAATAAAATAAAATAAAACATTAATAAAATATGGCTCTTTTGTTTGGTGAAATATTATGATAGAATTAAAATAGGGTTGCTTCTGAATAAAATAGCATAAAAATAGGGGTGATAGTAATAAAATAGTTTTAAAATAGCAATATAATATAGTTGTTTTCGCAAGGGTGACGTATAGTGTTGTATAGTGTCGTATAGTCTTGTATAACGTTGTATAGTGTCGTACAGTGTCGTATAGCCTTATATATTGGCGTATAGTCTTGTATAACGTTGTATAGTGTCGTATGGTGCCGTATAGGCTTATATATTGTTGTATAGTCTTGTATACAGTTGTATAATGTTGCATAGTGTCATTTAGTGTCATATAGCCTTATATAGTTATAGTGTTTTATAGTCTTGTATAACATTGATAATGTTGTATAGCTTTATATACTGTTGTATAGTCTTGTATAACGTTGAATAGCGTTGTATAGTGTCGTATAGCCTTATATAGTGTTGTATAGTGTTGTATAGTTTTGTATAACTTTGTATAGTGTCGTATAGTTATCACTTATTTACTGAGACCGAGGGAAACAGTGTGTTTTGTGGACTCGAGGGTCCACAAAACACACTGCTTTCCCGAGGTCTCAATAAATAAGTGTTTTATTATATATCAATAGTCAAAGAAACAACAAATTAAAGAACAAATGAACGTAAATACATGAAATATTTTATTGTTAAAACGTTAAATTGAACACTGCAGTTACTTAAAGCGAAAGTTTAAATTACTAGGCATGTCCAAAGGTCGCATCTTCACGTGATGGCGCACGTGATTTTTTTTCGTTATTTGCCGGTCGATAACGTATTGTTTCCCTCTCACGTTGTTGCGAGGGAGACAGTCTAATTTCGTCACTCTCACGTGATATGCTCTCGACCAATAAAACACTAGAAAAATGCGACTTTGACTATTGGTATATAATAATTTTGCATATTATTTGCAAGTGATGAACCAGGCGGGAATCGTAATCGTAGTGTAAAGATTAATGCCCAGCATAACGTACGCAAAAGAGCCATATAGACAATAGCCTAATATAGACCGATAAAATTTATTTAAGAAGTACTAACGTTTCGTCTTTAACCATCTTCTTTAACCTAAGACATCTTCATCTTCAAAATATTTATTAATATTTGTAACTCCTTGTCATACTATATTCATTTACTCTGAAGATGTCTTACGTTAATTTAAAGACGAAACGTTAGTAGGCCTACTTCTTAAATATATTTTATGTCTATATTATTGTCTATATGGCTCTTTTGCGTACGTTATGCTGGGCATTATTCTTTATACTACGATTATATATTATTGTATAGTGTCGTATAGTGTTGTATATTCTTGTATAATGTCGTATAGTCTTATATAATTAACATTGCATAGTATCGTATAGCCTTATATAGTGTCGTATAGTGTTGCATAACGTTGTGTAGTGTTGTATAGTCTTCTTTAGTTTAGTGTAGTATAGTGTCATGTATAATCTTGTATAGTGTCATACTGTCATAATTTTTATAGTTTTGTATAATCTGGAATAGTGTTGTATAGTGTCGTATAACCTTATATATTGTTGCATGGTTTGTATAACGTTGTATAGTGTTCTATAGTGTCGTATAGCCTTTATATATTGTTATGTAGTCCTGTATAACGTTATTGTTTTATAGTGTCGTATAGCCTTGTATATTATTGTGTAGTGTCGTATAGTGTTGTATAGGCTACTCTTGTATATAGTGTCGTATAGTCTTGTATAACGCTGTATAGTGTCGTATAGCCTTATATAGTGTTGTATAGTCTTGTATATAACATTGTATAGTGTTGTATAGCCTTGTATTAGTGTCGAAGTTCATTAATAAGTTCACCTGCTAACAAGATATATGTAGCTTTTGACAGTTCTTTGTAAAAAACATTATACAGACAGACAGGATAAATAATAGTGTTATGCGCTTCCATTATTAATAGTGTTATGGTATATACAGGGTGTATAAAAAAAACCTGAACCCTTTCAAATTTAAGTTAGCTATAACGTATTGTAGTAATTTGACAGCTCTAATTGCTTTGAGTTAATGTCGGGTAAAAAAACAAGGTCTTGTACTCATGGGACAAAACTCAAAGAAATAAAAATTAGAAAATTTAAAAGTTTTTAAGAGTTTTGTCCCATGAGTACAAGACCTTGTGTTCTTACCCAACCATTAATTCAAAGCAATTAGAGCTGTCA